ACAAAAGTAGAGAAAAAATCCGTTGACTGTTTCAGTTTTTTCAATTACAAAAAAAACATTATCAATGAATTGGAAAAAAGGTAGAATTATAGAAGCAAAACAGAAACAAAGAGTAATTGTAATCATACTGGAGAATGCTTGTCTAATTTCTTTGCTTCATGGTTATCCTTTTCTTGGCCCAAAAGTGGCGTCGTATCCCTATCTTTCCCCTATTAAACCCAAACAAAATTAATAAGTATTTGAAAATTTTCAAGACTATCTTAATTTTTATTAGTTTCATTTTGTTAGTGTGATTGCGTACCAGAAAAGTGGAATCGGAGGAGACTTGTTTGGATTTAGAAGCAACGGAGCAGAAGTATGAGTAAAGAAGCATTCCGAGGACAGCGATGAGGATTCCTGCGATGTTACGAGGAGTGAAAGGATCGTGGAGTAGAGTGTATCCAAATGCTAGTACCAAACACGTTTTGAGATGTCCCAAGACTTGGTACGTCACCGGAGATGTTTTTCCAATCACTAAAAACGTGCTGAAATTAACCGAAACCGCTATCAAACACGATAAGGTTATGAACCCCTGCATGTATACAACATGATTCAACATGGTCAGGCCCCTTTCTAGAGTTTAGGAGGTCTAAGGCAACAAAAAAATTTGGGGCCCCAAAAGTAGTGCTAAAAAAAAATTAGACTCAAAATTAGTATGCATAATGATCTCAAATTAAAATTACTATGAAAAATACATATAATTTACCATTTTAAAAAAAATTGGGGCCCCAAAATTCTGTAAAATCAAAGAGGCCCTAAGGCTATTGCCTCAATTTAAATCAGGTGGGAACGACCCTGAACATGGTCAAGTTTGATAGATTAGCTAGGATTCTTATATATCTAGGTAGAATGTTAGTATATGGTAGGTCAAAAGCTCGAAGACCGATTTGGTTTCGAAAAATCAGTCTGCATGCTGACCTGTTTTCTACTTCGCAAAATCAAGGCCGGTTCAGGCCATCCCATACCAATCCTAAACCCGTCATATAGGTAAGGACTAATGCATCACAATAACTCTAATTCTATATTATTAACATTAATTGGCAATAAATGGAATTAACAAAATAATTACCAAGACTATGGGTGAGTAATGGAAGGAGAAGACATTGAGGCGAGTGAGGTATTTGTCGACAAAAGGACCTGAGACAAAGAGTATAGCGGCTTGGAATGGGGCCGATTGGTAAAGGAGTTGTGTTGATGTCACGTTCAGTCTCTTCTGGATTGTGTTTGTTAGCTTCACAACAACATTACATATTAGTTAGAGATTTATCATTATATATGTGATTGTTATGAAAGATGTGAATTAATAGCATACAATTTGGCCAACGCAAGTTGTGGCGATGGCAAGGAGAGAGAGAACAGAGCCAACAAAATTGAGCTGAAGATCTGTGATTGATGCTATTCCAACTCCAACCAGTAGCAGAAACAATGAGAATTTTATCTTCCGGCTGCAAAATCAAGCACGTCACTATATATTTTGATATATATATAATAGTGTAACATATAAGAATCAATTTTTATTAATAAGCAAAAGGATTTACCTGAACTTCTTGTTGAGGAAGAGGGTTTCCAATAGGACAGTGAATGGTATGATAGCAAGTTTAGTCATCTGCCATTATATAATGACAAACATAAAAATTGGTCAATCATATATAAATGTTTCATGATGATGAAGATCAAA